GGTATTAATATGTTCTTATGTACAGTAGAATTGTAAATGGGCTGATTTATGATTGGCATGCTCTTACTGTGCCTGAACAACATAGGGGGAACTGCTGCATTTTCCCCCTCATCCTTACTAGATCTATCATCATTTGTCCTCTACTTCTTTTGTATGTTTGACACTCTCTTGTGAACTGCTGTTTCCGGGGTGCCTTGGTAGTTGAAGCGGACTTTGTGTTGTTGAGGCTAGAGAGGTGAGCAGAGTGGGCCTGAATCCCCGTTTGGACTTCTCTGTTGACATCCACCCCTTGGCGCTCATATGACCATATGCAGTTGCGAGCGCCGTAAAACCTTACAAAAAACTAAAAACACTTAAAAGACATGAGCTAGGTTCCAAGGTATGAAAGTTTATTTCACTGTGGCGTCGGTATTCTAGTGGTTAGGCTACATATATCGGACTCGCAATTGTGGCTGCTTGCATTGTAATATGTATGTATGCTTCCCAGGAAGTTGATATTGTTTCAGAATGCTATCAAGTCCGTTGCAGTATTAACATAGATTGTAAAACGCGTGAAGCTTGCAGTTTAGCGGAAATTTGCAGTATACAAATGCTACTTATTTTTACTTTAAGTATTATTATTTATTATTATTATTATCATCATCATCATCATTTTTTCTCACTCCCGGGACACTGACTACCACTCATCATACCATGTTGGTCCTGACAAGCAGGTCGACGTCGCCAGTCTCCTATTAATTAGTTAATCGATGACTGGGTAAACATGTACTATCTCATTTCTGTTCCTCTGCTAAAATCATGTTCATGCTCTATGACTCACTTGCAACCAAATACAGTATTTACTTTTAAATTTGTGCATTCCGCCGGCCTGGAGAAAATCAGCAGAACCATTTTACTTCACAGCTGGAAGTACGATTTATTCATCTTCTTCCTACTTTTATATTAGATCGCAATTTCTTTCCTGTGAACACGTCCATCTGAACTCCCAGAGCCGTTTACACACCCATCTGAACTCTCAGAGCCGTTTACACTCCCATCTGAACTCTCAGAGCCCACCTACGTAGATTGGACTGGGCACCCTGCTCCCTATGTACACCACTCCACTTGGGCATGTCTAATACCAAGTCTTCAGTCTTCTTTTGCAAATATGGAAAATTCTAGTGGTTGATGTGCAGGGCGAGTACCTCAGAGACTGATACTGACAGTGAAAGAACATGTATGCTTCCCGGGAAGCTGAGAATGTTTCGGAATGTTCTATGGTCTGCTGGGGTAATAATATAGTGTAAAGCGCATAGAGCCTGCTGTTGAGCGGGGATATGCGCTATACAAATGCTATCTATTATTATTATTTAACATTGTTCATTTCTCTACCCATAAAAACAGATGCCTATGTTCAAACAAAATCGGTTACACGTAATTCAGAATAACTTGGATTTGAAAATGAAAGGGAGGGGTTTCGTAGAAGTCTTAGTTTGGACGTTCTGTCAATACGCAAACTAGATCTATATCCCCAAAAGATGTACTGTATTGTACTTTCCCATGTCAGCAAGTGGCAGGATGATTAAGAAGAAGAAGAAGAAGAAGAAGAAGAAGAAGAAGAAGAAGAAGAAGAAGAAGAAGAAGAAGAAGAAGAAGAAGAAGAAGAAGAAGAAGAACGA